TCTCTGGCTCGAGCTGCTTGTTTTCGTCGCGTTGGATCTAGAGGAAGAGATGTTGCGCGTCTTTCTACTGGTGCGCACGTCATTGGATTGGCGCGCAGCTAGTATCTCGCAAATGAGGTGGAGAGGTCCTTTTCTTTTCTTCTTCGCAACTCCTCTCTACCAAATTGATTGTGTTCACGACAGGGCACTCCAACTTCACTGTCACGTCGATGTCACTGTCTGGAGACGGCCGCGATTCGAGTCCACATTGACTGCTTAATTTTCAAAATCAAGTACGTTGCTAGCGCAAAAAGTTGATTTCCTTCTGGACGTCGAACACTAACACGCTGAGAAACCACGCCAATCAAAACCGTTTTGCGAAGTGGGTTTCGCTCAGAGTGAGCTCAACAACAACATCTTGATTTGAAGGCTCAATAAATCGAAGTGGACCTACAGATAGAAGGACTGCTACTGACCACGGCTGCACACACCCTGCATTTATATTATCTGTTGCTTATCTACTCAATCTTGAGATGCGACCATGAAGCGCACCGGAAATAACACCAAAGCAACAAGAAGAAACCGTTCGCAAGGTGCTTGTTGGTACTCCCAAGCAAGTTCCAGTTGTGCTGAAGCTCCTCCGAAGAAGCCAGCTCCTCAAGAAGGCTACCGTGAAAAAGCAGCTGGGAAGAAGCAAGCTACCTTGAAGCCAACCGCGGTTACCCCTGTTGCAAAGGCCGACCCTGCTGACAAGTTGACGTGGGAACGTTGCTACAAGACCTGCCGTCAACAAGCTCCTCGCCATGATAACCAACCAGCCTGGTCTGTTCACACAGGTCGCCAATTCACTGCTGCAGTCGCCGACACTTCAGCAGCAATCCAACAACGACGACCTCGGTCTCCGAAACCAGCGTCGTGGAAGTCGTCGCCGCCACTTCCAAGAAGGTCCCCAAGACAACTAGAGCTGGAACTGCCGTCGCGATCAAACAAGAAAGCAAGCTGCCGGGAATGACAGCTCGAAGCTCGATACCGACAAGCCTGTTGTTCTAGTTCGATGCCGTCCAGCTCAAGATAGCAGTCGCAACCTCACAGTCGAGATGGTCGGGAAGCGTTGTTCACGGACTTCCTTACAAACCACCAGGTCGAAGATCGTGGTCTGAGCGGACTCGACATCAGAGACCAAAATTGGAGGTCGCTCCGCGCTCATTTCCAAGCTGTGGCTTTTCATGAAGACACTGTGTAACAGGATCGATTTCCCTTCTGTCACGAAACGGCGAACTTGTCTCCAGCACTTTCATGCGCACAGGGAGTTCAACTTTGGGGTCTCACACATTGAAGAACAGCCGCAAGGTGATCTCCCAGGAGGACGGGACGTGCTACGCCGCCTCGGAGAATGACTATGAATGGACGACCCTGAGCAGCCATTCATTTGAATTGACGACGACAATGATGAGAAGAGGAGCAGGACGAAGACGAGGACGAGCACGAGAGCGAGAATTAAACGAGGACGAGGTTATCTACGAAAATACAAGAGATGGAGCCACACCACTACATTGCATGTTTGTGTTTGTTTAGAGTTTGACATCGTTGTGCAGCAAAGAGGACTACGTACAAAATTTGCTACCCCGTTCGGTTCAAGAGGGAGTGCGAGAGAGCCAAAACCAGCTGGTGGTGGCAATCACGAGGTGAACTCCCGGGACTCGCTAGAACGAGGTAGACGTAGAATCCCCTTTTAATTTTTTTAGCTTATTCTTTTGTGTCATCCCATGTCTACATCGTACTGCACATCGGCCTCCGTTCGCACCTTTGAAATTCAACGATCCGATGAATGTGCGATGGTTCCAAGGCATCATACTGGTACCGTACGTTGTTGCGTTTTATCCAATCCATTGTGGCTTCCAAATAGGCTTGTTTTCCCTGTTTGTCTGTGCCACCTGCAATCAGCCCGGTCACTTCAGAGAATGCATTTCTAGTGGCCTGATCCATGTAAATCCAGGCATCCTTCGGTAGATCATTTCGTCGCAACCAATCAATAGCTTCCTCCAGATCGGTAGTAGCGTGGCTTGTCGTTCTTTCCGGAAGTTCTTGACTTCTCGTCTGAACCGAGTCTTCCATGACCTTTTCCCTTACACCAGTCCTCCTGTGCGATAGCGATGGGCGTCCTTCTTCTTGCCTGGGCCCCTGCTGCCTACCCCGGAGCCCATAACATGGTACGCCCAAACGTTCACTGTCCACGAGAGTCAAACTCAGAATTCCCAAGGCTAGCAACCCAAGTCTTACCAACAGCCGCCTCGCGGTATCCACCGGAGGGGCAACAACTACCACGGCGGCTTGTTCCGGTTTTTTGGGATGAGAGTGTTGTGAGGGTGCTGGAGCTGGTTCTTGTAGTGTTTGATCCTCTTGGAGGCACTCAGTGGGCTGAATTGATGCCGCAGAGGCTAAGTTTCTAGTTGGTCCGGGTACCAGTTTCCATTTTTCCACGTTGTGGCCAAACAGATCACAGCAGTGGTCGCCCATGGGCAATGCTGCCATACCAGATCCATCCTGCATCTTGACCTTGTTTCTGATACAGAAAATGGCTAAGGACCTTCTTTGATAGTAGCTGGTGGGTGGGGTGGTTGCAGTCTTTGGACCAGCCTTTAGGGGTTCGGCGCTGCCGCATTTCAAACAACGATGGTGATGGTCTTCGTCGAGGTGATACCGGTAGGCGAGTGGTGGTCTTTCAGCTCGCTCATGCAGCGCCATTGCCCCAGGCCCCAGTCGGGTGAATTTTCAGCGCTTGTGAGAAGGGAAACATAAACTAAATCTTTCTCAATAATTATTAAATCTAATGGTACACTTAAAGACTTTTTGACTCGAAAGTTTCCATCTGAAAGAACCAGTTGCTGTTCGTTCCATGTCTGAAAAGAGTGCCTAAACTTTCTCGTAGTTCTTCTAACTTCAAAGCTCGCTCGATGACGAAAGGGGGTTCAGAGGGAGGGGATTTTCTGGCTACTATGCATACGCAAAAGCCGGCGGGGAGCTTGATTCGATGCAATTACGTATGTTTTGGTCGACGAGGGGCGGTGCTGGACAAACGAGGGGGTACCGGTACCTACAGTTGTGTGCATCATAGACCACCGCCCCTGCTTTTGGTAAACGCAAGACGGAAATTGACTGAACAAAAGTAATGAAAGGTGGATTGGGCGAGGAAAGGTATTTGAACAGACAATCGACCGACGGAAGCGCAGCTCCGCACGAGACCTGGATTGCTCAAACAAATGAGAACGCAGGAAGATTTCACAAGTGACCACATCTGATAGTATTGATCCATCCAATGGGGGTGTAAATTACTCGTTAGTTTAACAAACTATGGCCACGGAGTGGCTTTTGTGACGCGGGCAATTGGTGGGGAAGCCCCCACCTAGCTGAGTCGTCATCTACTTATTTGCCCAATCAACATGACCTCATCCACTGGCCCAACGTGGAGCCAGCACCAAGTAGACAGATGCCCTGGGTGGGGGGGTAGTGGGGTGAGCACATTGATAGGGAACCTGCAGCGCAAAACCTGGGTTACAGGGGCTTACACAGGATTTTTGTCGGTATTGAAACCATTATCACCATAGGGACCGTGAGGACCAGTTAGAATGCCAGACCAAAGAGTGCCGCCAGTAAGTGTGTCTGGGGATCAGAGTCCCAAGCTGTGGCAAGGGCCTTGGCATGCAACGGCAAGAGCCAGCAGAGCCCGTAGGAGGGTACTCCTCAGGCTGGACCAGAGCAGGGTGTAACCCATCCAATGCACAAAAATTGTTAGATAGAGGCCAACAAGCAGCAGAAGATGGGTCAAATGACACACTGGCTGTGTGGTTCCCAAGAGGGAGACCAAGTGGTGCTGAAGTGTTGTGGGCTGTTCGAGGGTTGTTGAGTCAATAGAAAGAGGATAAGGGGGACTGGGGTGGGCTGGTGCCAGGGGCAGAGAGGGGAGATCCTGTTGGTGTTGGAAGGTTGTTGTAGAGTGGGATGTAGCAGGTTAAGTGGTGTTTGAGGATAGAGGCGTGCCTGTTGTCAAGGGTGAGAACAAAGACATCCTCCCTGATAGGGTAAGGTGTGATTCGGAAGGGTGATCCCTCAAAAAAAGATGGGTGCATGCTCTAGAAGCTGTTGGCTGATCATCTGGGGATTGGTGTTGTGTAGTCTGCGGAGGATGGTGGATGTGGTAGGTTGGGTGAAGTGTGGGAGTGGGGGAATGTCTGGGGGGACTTTGGGTTTGAGTGAAGTAGTTGGTAGACATGGGGAAGTCATGGTGGGTGGTAGGTGGGGTAGTGGGGGAGTTGTGTATCATGGAGTATTGACTGTAGTGTCGTTGCTTCAACTCAATCAATGGAGGTTGCTTGTGAGGTGGCGAGTTTATATTTATTTATTTTATTTTTTGTATTTGTAGAAGGGGGTGGTTCACGGGGCCGGCAATGTACTCCGAGGCGCAAATGGTAATCAAGGTTGAATATCAAGTTGTTTCGGGGCTGTTGTTGTGCCTGGATCAAAGGCTAGTGCCAAGTCTGAGTGCAGGTATACCACTACCTGCAGGAGAAGATGGTATCAGAGCCAAAGGCTGGTAGGGTTCTTTCAGGGAAAACTGGAGAAGTCACGTCTATAGCCAGTAGAGGCAGTGGTATCAGGGGATCAAGTGTGTTGTTGTTGATGGGGCTCTGTGTTACTGGATGACACTACTGTGTTGTCTCAAAGGCTGGAACTCAATCTGTTGTAGGGTCAGACATGCAACAAGAGAGTCAAGCCAAGATGTGAGAGGGTACTCGATTCAGGTGGAACTGTTGAAAGTCACTGGAGATGTCACATAACAATCAATGAGAGAGAGATTGAGATTCAGTTATGTATTAATATGCTATGCCACAACCACGCTGCACCGTTCTGTCTTGGGCTCAATCCTTTGGAGTTCCTTAAGGCTCAGTAGGAGAGTCAGGTGCAGTAGCAGAGAGGTGCCTGTTCATGGAGGTGTTGAACAATCTAGCCAAACACGTAGGGGGGCAGCTTTGGTAGTTGTTCTTGTGGGGGTGAGATCCTTTGGAGAGGAGCTGGGTATACCCAGGAAGGGGCTGTGAAACTAGCAAATTCAGCCAAGCCGGTGGGATACACAGAACTCAAGTCCCTACAGGAACTCTTTTGTTGTTTGTTCCTCTTGGAGAGAGGAGTTAGATATTCAATGGAGGGGTGGTAACAGTAGCAGGTGTCGATCAGCAATCAGTCTGTATAGGGACGTGGTTGGAGCAGTAGGATCAGTTCCAACAGTGAGTAGGTGACAATGGGATTTTCTTCGGCCGTCAAGGCGAGCTTAGTTCAGCAAGCAACACATGACACGTATGGGAATTGTTTTCTGTACTGTGCTGCTGGAAGGCCGGAGACTTCTTCTTGTGGTCATAATCTTAGGATCAGTTCCAACGAAGGACGTCCGGGAAGAAACCACTAGTGGCCAGTGAGAAAGTAAGAATACATGTGTGTAATTCTTTATGGTCGGTCACTGCAGGTATCTCGTTAAGTCCTTCTTGATAACAGTAGGCTTCGTACGGAGGAAGAGGTACGTACGGAGGGGAGGTGCGTTCGTGGAAGAATCGATCCGACTTCCACGAGGAACGAGTTTTGATTCGATTCGATTCAAAACCGATTCGAGTTCGCGAGTCGATTAAGAGGATTCGATTCGAAACCACGTAACGGTCTGCCTTAGGGTAAGGTTTACCCGACGATCGTATCGAAGAAGAGGAAATCGGCCACAATAGGGATTTCTTCTGCGTCAGGAGCTTAGTTTAGAAAGCAACAATGCACTTATGGGATTGTTTTCTGTCCTGTGCTGTGGAAGGCCGGAGACTCTTCTTGTGTTCAAATTCTTCAAACTTGGCCGTCGCGGTCGAGAATAGAAAACCCGCCGATCTCGTGGATTTCAATTGGGATGGCTTTCTAATCTGGACCACGGAGAACGCCGCTTGATTGTCGCTGATAGAGGAGGTCGCTTGATAGGGGAGGTGCGCAGGGAATGGAGGTATCGATCCTTTTCGGCTTGAATAGGTTGTAAGAGAGGAAAAAAGGGGTGTATGTTTTCCGTGATGACGTTGAGTTGATATCCTATAGTAAAACAGTACTCTCAACAAGATAACAGAAAACAGGCTTCCTGAGGTCCTTTCGCTCGTTTCAATGCTTCTAATGGTGCTAATAGGTAGTGTAATGGTAGGGGTATGACCGATTGGTTGTGTTTGTTGCTATTAGTGTTGTTGTTCTTGTATTGACAGATCCAGAGGGGAAGCGCTTCGGTTTTCGGCTTCCCTTGAAAAAGTAGTATTGATCCATCCAATGTGTGAAGTTCTAACTTCAAAAGGATGACTCGATTCGAATGATTCGATTCTATGGCCTACCTTGCTTCCACTTCGTTTAAACCAGGGCGCACAACACGATCTCCGCTGATGCTTGCTTCACTCTCGTCCTCACAACTCGGGCCGGCTAGCTATGCGATGACCAGATTGGCTGATACTAGCTAGCCAGATCGAAAGGATCCCTGCAGCTGCCGTACAATGCAAAGTAGTACCAGTGCTGAAATTCAAAAATGATGTCCTTGCTCATTTCACGACGTGCGTAGAAGAGATCCTCCCAGTGAAAGAAGCAGTTGGGGAGACTGCGTCCATGCTACCTGTGCAACAAAAACAGGCCACCTTTGTGCGAAACCTGTCGTGGAAATAGTCTCTTCAGTCAAGCGAGGTGCTGCGAGACAAAGAAATTCTTGTCAGCCTTGTCTTCTTCTCCCTCCAGAAGTACTGCCCCTTCTGATGATTGCAGTTATTTTGGATGATCCTCAGGGAGGCCTTTGCTTGTGCCGGGAATCAGCAGAGAAAGAAACCGACTTCTTTCTGCTTCCATCCCTGCCTCCAGACAACTGACTCAACCAAGTTGCAAGGGCTGTAATGATTGCGGCGTTGGTAGCATGGGTTGGCTGATTGGTTGGTTGGTTGATTTCGATCAACTGTAGGAATGGCAAAGAGAAGGAAGGAGCAGCCGATGTTGAAACATCGTGAGATTTTCAACTCAAACTGTTGGACTTGCTGTAGTCCAATCAGCTTCCTGAGGATTGTCTCATCTCTCTTCTACGAATTGACGTGCACCATTGTCCTCCTCCAGTGAGAATTTGGACTGGCAGTAGAATCTCCATTGCAATGATGCCTTGATGGCTTGTATAAGCTTTTCATTGGCAACTTGTATACCCGAACTCAAGAAGAATTCATCGAGACGTTCCACACCGTCAGCTGTACGGCATCCCCGTTGGAGTTTTTGGGAATGCTCCTTGGATGCAATTCCCCGTGTCATGGAGAGTATGATATTGAATAAGACTCCCGTGTTGAAATTCTTGATTTGGTCAAATTTGAAGGGGTACACGGCAGCGACTTCTGAGTAAACTCTCTTCATGTCACTGAATCCAAAGTTGGCTTTGAAATTGAAACCTTCGTTTTCCATGAGCAGGATGCTACCCTTTCGAATGGCCTTGAAATCAGGACACTGAGCATGAGTCACAAAGTGAGAAGCTAAAAGCCAGATGCGAACGAGTTCCGGTTGTGCCTGAAGGATCTTGGCGTAGAAGCGGGCTACATCCATCGCAAAGATGTAGTTACCATCGCGAGGATTGTAGTTGAGAGCCAACCAGTATCCAGGCATTACAGAGATCAGCTCTCGGACAAACTCCATTCCTGCCTCCCAGGAATCCACAAAGTCGTACTCCTCGCGAAATGCCTGCATGGTCCGTATCCGATCCAGGGATCGTTCCACATTGTCACGGTCAATGATTCCAAATTGGCAATACCAAAAGTCACTGAGTGGCTCCAGATCTCCCTCTTCTGCCACAGCCCGCTTGACAGCCAGAGCCCACCCTCTTTCTTCTTCCGTCAGCTTCATACGATCGTCATATGAATACTGACCCGGGGCTCCCACAAGCGGAAAATTGCTACCGTCGCCATCACTCTCTTCTTCACTACTACTATCCTCCTCCCCTTCATTTTCCTGAACCTCTTCCTGAACGTTTTGTTCTAACAGCACTGTCAAACCCTCTTCGTTCTTGTCTCCCATCTTGCTTGTTGTCTGGCTGCTGAAAGTTGCTGGTCCAGAGTGTGGGTTAACTTAAAGGAGCTGTTAAAAAGGGAACTACATTATGGTGAGCTAGCTAGCCACTGTAGGAGAGGGCAGAATAACGTAGTGAAGCTTCGCGCAAAAAGGGCGCATGCACCTCTGCAGCCCCGATTCCTCACTTTTGTTCTTTTTTGGATCGATCGATCTTTGTGAAGAAGCAGGAAGAAGCAGTGTGAAGAAGCAGTGTCCGATCAATCCAAGAAAAGAAGAATACCGCTAGCTAGTATCAGTAGACTAGTACAGGCAGCTTCGCTTTTACTGATTCAAACGCGCGCCAAGCTTCTCTACACGCTTCTACAGGACCTCTCGTAGATGTGTACCAGAAAGTGCGGCACGCGTTTGAATCAATAAAATCGAAGCTGCTCGTAGACGTTTTGCCTCTTTTTGAAAACAACGGCAAAGGTGACACACAGTTGCCATCGTCGCTGTTGAAAAAGCAGAAGCAGAGGATTCGTCTTGCTGTTTTTGGTTTTCCCCAGTTTCCCCGAACCAGGCAGAGAGCAGAGGTAATCACGTTTTGGAATTCCCCACAATCCCACCCCAGGGAGTTGAGGTAATTTTAAAAAAACAAGCAGCAAAGCTGGTAAAACCTTGCCACACGTGTCACGCTCACTGCACCCATACCAATCCTACGAAACTCGCCTCCAAGCAACCTCAAGACAGCAGTGAACATTTGGAAATCTCCCCAAGTACCCTCCAAGACCAACTGAAACCTCGCTTTTCAGTTGCGGTAGTGGTCCCAAGTTTGTGACTTGCATTCGCGGCGTTTGCGTTTATAACCGGCCAGGCCGTCGCGAAAGCTATCGCGAAATTTTTGCGACGATCATCATGTCAGATTCTGAAGACAAAAAGCCGGCGGCAAAAAGCCACAACAACGCTGTGGATGTAGCTGCAGAGGAAGATTCTACTCAGGAAGAAGACAACTACGCTAGCGCACAACACCAGCTGCAACAACAACAGCATCACGACCAGCAACAGCAAGTTCAACCAGCGCTCCAGCACCAGCAAGTGGCAGGAACAAACAACCCGCCTCACGCAGCACCCACTCGCCAAACTGGATCCATTGCAACTTGGTGCAATAGTGAGGCATATGTTTCTCAGGATGAAGACAACATGGCAAGTATTGATCAAGATATGATCATGGACATGCTTCGAACCACATACACCATTGGACATGCTGATGGTGATGTACGTCACCAGTTGGCACAAGGGTATGACATCTCCCCACCCGATCCTGGGTTCTTCCTGGTGCGCACCACTAACCACCAGCTGATTATTTAATATGGAATCAAAGTTTGCAAACAAGTGGGCTCTGCATGGTGCCAACAAACAGTTGGTTTTGCCGGCGACATCCCTACAAACAGTCAGCTTCCAGCAACTTGGTCTACTAAACATCTCAACACTATGGCAAAGATGGTGCAGGTGTCTGCAGTGGTCAATCTTACCAAGCTATGAGCAAGTGCCAAGGCAAATCCACAACAGCCTAATCTAGTACCCACCTTCCCAACGAACAAAACTCCTCAGAAACTACCTGTGGTGTCTATGGTGAAAATCCCAGCCCCACTCCTCGCCCGAGCTTTGGCAGCTGGAGACCCACAGACCGCTCCTTTGCCGTTTTTATTAGTAATTGCGGAGTTTCTGCATCAACACTCCAAAACCGAAAGCAAACTGCCAAGCACAGGTTTCAATACTCCCAAGACAATGC